GGTCCCTTGAATTTCCATACGAACTTGAGCATCAGCTTGGTAATTTCTGCAAAGAAGCCAGCTGGGATTTTGATAGGGATTGTGTGGGTTCTGTAGGGATCCAATTAAGGGAGTATTGCCATCTGAACAAAATTGTCTTCCAATCTATGAATATGGAATGTCTTTCCATTTATTTAGATCTCCTTCCGGCCGGCCCCGTGGCTTAGCGGTTAAGTGCGCACGCTCCGCTGCTGGTGGCCCGGGTTCAGATCCTGGGCGTGCACTGACGCACCGCTTCTCTGGCCATGCTGAGGCCGTGTCCCACATACAGCAACTAGAAGGATGTGCAGCTATGACATACAACTATCTGCTGGGGCTTTGGGGGAAAAAATAAAAAAAATAAAATTATTAGATCTCCTTCAATTTCTTTCAACAATGTTCTGTAGTTTTCAGAGTAGAGGGTTTGTACATCTTTTGTTAAATTTTTTTCTAAGCAATTTATTCTTTTTGATGCTATTATCAATGGAATTTTCTTAATTTCATTTTCAGATTGTATAGAAATACAGTTGATTTTTGTCTATTGATCTTGTATCCTGCAATCTTGCTAAAATAATTTGAGTTCTAATAGTTTTTTTAGTAGATTCCTTGGGATTACCATCTACTAGATCATATCTTCTGCAAATAGAGATAGTTTTAGTTCTTTCTTAACAATCTGGATGCCTTTTATTTCATTTTCTTGCCTTGCCTAGCACTTCTAGTACAATGTTGAATAGAAGCGTTGAGAGAGGACATTTTTGTCTTGTCCCTGATCCTAGAGGGAAAGCTCTCAGTCTTCCACCATTAGTATGATGTTAGTTGTGGGTTTTTTGTAGATGCTCTTTATCAGTTTGAGGAAGTCCCCTTATACTTTTAGTTTGTTGAGTGTTTCCAGCAGGAGGGAGTGTTGAATTTTGTCAGATGCTTTTTTGCATCTGTTAAGAAGATCATGTGGTTTTTGTCCTTTATTCTGTTGATATGGTGTATTAGATTAATTGACTTGCAAATATTCTGTGTAGGCTGGAGCTAAAGGTGAAGCAGCGCTCGTCAGTGCCTTCTCATTAGGCCTGGCCAGGGATGCTGAGCTGTCTTAGAAATTTTGCTCTAACTAAAAGAAACTTTCAACTCTTTAAAACTTTGGCTATTGCATCCTCTTCTCAACATCTTTTTATTCACAGATAGTGTACATGAAGCCAGTAATGTTCTGGCACTTTCCATACTTGGGAATTGCTTTGTCAATTCTTGTTTTAAACGAGTCAAGACATTTCCATTGCTTCTTTTCAGAGACTGCTCTACCAATGAGATTGTTCATTTTATTGCACTACATCTTATTTTTCTCCATCTTATGATTTATTGTGGCTCTTAGCAGTTCATTGCCTTATTCTTTCCACTGGACCATTTGTAGTGTTTCCCCTTCTGTTGGACCCTCATAATAACAATGTCCCAGTCATATTCTTCAGCGAGAACGTGGAAAAGTCCTGACTTCTGATATTTTTGTTATTCTTGAGTCACCATTTATTGAGCTCTGCCAGCATGCTAGAGGATTTTATAGGACAGATACACATACTCATTGCCCAAGTATCTTGCAATCTGATTTAACAGCAGGCAACCGACGCAGACATAGAATCATTAATGGCCTTGTGGGAAGGTAGTTAGCTGAGTGTCACAGGAATGAGGCTATTGGCTTCTAACGGCAGACCAGTTTGTGCCAATTCCTAGGTTTACGGATAAAAGAAACAGCCATCTGTGTTGCTGAGTGATGCTTCCACACATAGCAGGTCCATCCTCTACTTCAAAAGTGGAAACTAGTCTCCAGGGAGACAGGCAGTGTTTCAGCCTTGTCAATATCCAAGAAAACAAGGGAGATTTCCACCCACTCTTGCCTATACTTTAAAGCTCCTCACTCCACCCTATGATCTCATTCTTGATAGGTAGCCTCATCAACCTGATTCCATAAACACTACAAGACTCTAAACTGCAAGTTAAAGCCACAGCAGCCCAGTCCCTTCCACAGCACGGCATAGGGGAAAATGTGTCAACAAGCAGAAGGCCTGGTCCCTGCCCTGAGGAAAAAATGGTCCAAGTTCAAGAACACATAAAAACATTTGAGTCCTCTTTGAATTGCTTATTGTTTTCCTGAACAAATTTTTGGCTTGCTATAGTTTCTTCCTGATCACTTTCATCCTCTTTCCAAAGTGGGATGATACGTTTATTTAGAAATCATTTCACCTGGGAAATGGTGCCATCAGCCAGCCTGTCCTCAGGGGGACTCTCTGGACATGGAAACAGCTGTCCATGTTGATGAGGCATCCACAAGGGAGCACTGCTCCAGCTAGGAGGGTTCCCTACTCTGGGCTGGAGTGGAAACCCAGCCACTGCCTTTCAATGCTCCCCTGTCAACCCCATATCTCCAGGTCCAACCAATTGGCAGCTGGCCCAAAGGGGTGATGTCTCCTCTCCCAGGTGGGACATCCTGCCCTTCTACTTGAGTGAGAGGGGGAAGAGCTCCAACACTTTACATGGGGCTCGCCCATTCAGTACAATATTTATTTTAGGCTATGGGTCTGTGAGCCAACCTGTCAGCTCTTTGATTTCCTTATACTCTGATCCTCCTTCTGTTTGATAGTCTCATTTCAATCTGCCCTCGAGGCCAGATAACTGGGTCCCAAATAGGAAAGATTCTAATGTAAAACAAAACAAAACAAAACAAAAGTTCTAATGTTTACAAGGAACAAATGAACGCTTATGTCAAAAGTCTATATTTGAGGCTATTCATGAATGTGAGGCCTGGATCAAATGATTCCCCTACCCCCCACCCCCAAATCCTTACTCCACAATAGACCCCATGTGAAGATAGAGAACTGAGAGTTGAACCCAGTATAGCTACCAAAGTGTAATTAAAGTTATCAATTCCAACTAACTCTCGAACTCTCAGACACTACACACCCTAATTCTTGTCTCCTTGCCTGAGTGCCCACATGACAACTGAAAATTTTAGCCTTACACTTCTGAATAAGATTCTCTCTACACTAAGCCGGTAGCAGGACCTCTGGCAGAAAAGGCAAATTTGGGCTTTCCCCAGCAGCCTTTATTATTATCAACTTGCATTCACCCAAAGACAACCAAGAAAGTAAGGCATTGTTTTTTCTGACTTGATATTTCAGGACACTGAGCTCACTTTTTCTTCATTCTTTTCTAGTAGACCTGAAGATCATTCCACAAGGTAGAACAACTCATTGACCTATTTGACTTGGGCCCAGGCGTGCTTCGTGCCAAGATTTCCTATTCTGAAGAATTCTGAAAGAACTCCTTGGGGAGAAACACCCATTTCAGTTAGCAAACACCAGAGTCACTGGAATCAGTTACTAAATTACAATTCCTTAAAATTTGGGAGGATTTTGGAATTGCTATTGTTTTCCTGGTAAATTACTGGATCATACTGGTGTCTTGGAATAAGGCAACACATTTTAAGTCTAAGTTTCCATAAACTGCAACTTAACTTCCCCAGCTCCTAGGGGATTTTTATTGGCCCAGACTCAGGAAGAATTTTCATTTGTGGGATCCAAGACTTCAGAGACCAGACATTTCCTGAAGACTTTCCTCTGCCTTCTGACCTCCACCTACCTCCTCCCAAAGACATACAAAGAAACTATTTCTGATCAGTGCAGGCAGCCAAGAGAGCCCAGTGGGCCTAAGGTGCAGGGTAATAGAACAAGGGAACATAAATCCAGGATTCTTTCGTGGCATTACGGTACCAGAGTTGCCTTGATGGCTTGAATAATGTTAACCCCTTGCTTTATGACTGGGATTTTTTTTTTTTTTTTTTTTTTTTGCTAGGAAGATCAGCCCTGAGCTAACATCCATGCCAATCCTCCTCTCTTTTTGCTGAGGAAGACCAGCTCTGAGCTAACATCTATTGCCAGTCCTCCTCCTTGTTTTCCCCAAAGCCCCAGTAGATAGTTGTATGTCACAGTTGCACATCCTTCTAGTTGCTGTATGTGGGACACCGCCTCAGCATGGCCGGAGAAGTGGTGCCTCAGTGCCTGCCCGGGGTTCCGAACCCGGGTCGCCAGTAGCGGAGTGCGCTCACTTAACCGCTAAGCCACGGGCCGCCCCCTATGGCTGGAATTTTACTTACTCACTCCTGGAGCTTTTCTGAAGAACTGATATTGTACATGGTGTTTACTCATATTTCAGACCAACTCTATCATCAAATAGGAGTGATGGTTAGGAGTAAAGGCAGCCAAGAGCACTTAAATTATCGGACTCCGGCACATCCAGAGATTTTGAAACTTGTTCTGCTGCTGCCTCTGCCCCTTAGCTTGTTAAAACCTGAACTGGATGCACTGAGTTAGTGGTTTGGGGATAGAATTTTGGAGCCATTATTAGGAGGTGTCCCGGCCTATTGTACAGAGCTCACTCAGCCCAGCCAGCCAGGAGCAGGGAGCGCTGGTAGAGAGGCATGCCAGGCCTTTCCCTGCCACTGACCAGTCCTGTCTTCCGTATGCCTCCAAAGTTCCCTGGGGACCTCTAAGGTCATGTTCTCCCACTTGACAAAGTTGCAAATGTCTTTGCCCATAATTTCAAAAGTCTTGTCTGAACTAGACTTTCTCTGCTCCTTCCGGGTAGGAACTCTGTTTCCTTTCTGTCCTGGCATCCTTGCTCCCCTCCTCCCCGGGGCCTGGTACCTGGCCAGTGGAGGCTCTGTTAATATGATTTGGCACTGGTGGGGTGTTCTGGGCACTGTCAAGTCAGCTGCTGGCACTTGTCACCAATTATCCCAATTCTCACCACTTATTTCTTCATCATCGTCACTGATGGATGCCCCCTGCAGATCATGACCCCAAGATTCAGGATATAGGACCCCTGTCACGCCTCCCTTGCCCCAGGAGATGCTCTTCTTCCCCTCCCCACCCCTCCGCCAAGCCAGCAAAGCTCCCTGTTCTGAACCTAAGGCACCGGACCCCTGGAGTCCGACCCCTGCCTGGGCTTGCAGACCTATCGAGTGGAGCGAGGTGGCAGCAGGCAGGGCACACGGCCAGGGTGCCCAGCTCCCGGGGCTGCCTGCAGGGTGGGGCCGCTCCCTCTCCGTGCCTTCCCCATCCCCAAAGAGGACACCCCTCCCTCCGCCCGGCCCGCTCCCCACCCTCGCCGCGGCGCCGCCTCCCCCGCCGCCCGCCCGCCCGCCCTGGCCCAGAGCCTCCCAGGCAGCCAGCGAACGAGGCGAGCGCTCTGGGATGGGACTTGGAGGAGGCGGCGAAGGAGGAGACAGCGGCAGCGGCTCAGGCTTCTTCCCCGGCTCCCACGAGCGATTCCCCGAGGAGAGCCACGGCTCTCGGAGCGGCGAGGAGGCCAACGAGGAAGACCCGGCCGGCTGCGCCCCTGCCTTGCTTCTTCCCAGGCGGCGGCGGCGGGGGCTGCAGGTGAGCGGGACGCGCTGTCCCTGGGGCTCTGCACGGCCCCGCTGCCCCGAGGCGCAGACAGACCGACCCACTGACCGACAGGCACACTGACAGACCTGCAGAGCTTGGGCTAACCCACGCACGAGGGCGCTCCCCCAGGCCTGCGCCCCAACCCCTGCGGCTCCGCGCGGCCCCGAACGCCGGGCGTCCGCTCCCGCCCCGGGGCCCCGTCGCCCCCGACGCCCCGTGGAGAGTGGGAGAGGGGGCACGGCGCTGCCCGGACCCCACCGCCGGGAGAAGTCAGGCCACCCCTCCGGGCGAACTGGGCGCGCTCCCCGCGCGGGGCGCACAGCGCAGCAGCGACCCCGAGTGCCCCGTGGGGGCGCTGTGCCCCGCCACAGGGCCGCCCAGACCTCGTCTCCACCGACCTGGGGAAAGGGAGACTTGTTGAGCGGGCATCCGCTGTGATTCCTATTTCACAGGAGAGGCGGATTGATTCCAATTCCTCCTCTTGGTCGGCTGGTATTCTAATGCCCGTGTATCTGGATTTTGTTCTTGGTTCTCTATGGCAGCTAAGATCCAGCTTCTCTACGTTGTGGAGAAAGGAGAGACAGGGGAGCGCATTTTGTGGTAGTTGCTAGAAACCCCACCCCGAGGACAGTTTGGGGAGAGAACAGAAAAATAGGGACCCTTTCTCGTTAAGGTCTCCAGGACAGGACGCACGGAGAGGTAGCTCTTCAGGAACACACACCCCCGCCCTGAGCAAACCCAACTGACCAAGTTCCAAACTGTCATAAATCTGGGAGCCAGGATGCGTCTGCACCGAGTGCATTTAATCGGCCTTCCAGGAGCGGGGCAGTCGGGACAGTCAAGAGGCTCCGGGGGGGGGGCCGTGGTCAAGAGCAGAGACTGGGGTTGGCTTGCCCAGGTTCAAACCCTGGCTGTGAAGCTGCTAGGTTGGTAACCTTGGAGTTACCCGACTACTCTATGCCTGTTTCCTCATCTTCTACCTGGGGTGATAATACCTACAGGGCTGTGAGGATTAAATGAGATATTACGGGAAAAGTCCTTAGAACAGTTCCAGGCACAACCTTAGGTTAGGTGAGGGGCTCCATCACCTGTCTTTCCAGAAAAAGCAAGGAGTTCCTATGAGCAGTCACCTTCTCTCCAACTCAGGAAGAGAGCATCTTCCTGAGATCTGTGATAGATTGGTGAGGATGGCAGAAAATCCACATGTATTTAACTGGAGTTTCGCATTCTGGAGTCCACTGCTGCACAGTTCTCCCTGCCTGCTTCAAAGGGACAGCCTCATAAAACCATGTGGAGATGGCTTTATAGTCTGGAAAGTTTCCTCTCAGCTTCTGAAGCTCGGTCCCTTAGAATCCCCTGTTGGGAATGCAGATACCTGTGGCTCTTCACCTTCTATTTGCCTATCTGTCCATACTTCTATTCCTGCAATAGAATTCAGTCTCAGGCCCTTTGTTGCCAGGCCTCTCTTTTCTGCAAATCAGGGCTCCAGCGTTCCTTGCTCCTTGAGTCCAGGCCCAGGCAAACTGGAGCCACCGAGGCCTGAGCTCACTCGCTGGAGGTGCCATAGCAGAGTCCACCTCTGAGATACCCTCAGATGGTTGTCATGCCCTATGGTCTCACCAGCAAACACCATATATCTCTGTTTAGCAAGAGGTAGTTGAAATGAGGCCTAAGATTTAAAGAAGAGGAAATAGATGATTGCTTCTTGAAAGATAAAGAAGGAATAAGAGGGTCATTGGAGGTTCTAGAAAGAAATCCCACAGTTTGCCTAGACACAGCTCTGGTTTGTGTCTAAGAGAAAGCAAGGGGTGAGGCAGGGGTGGGGATGGAGAAAGGGGTAGAGACAGGCTGAGGCATCAGGAAAAGCAGGCTGAAGAGGGTGTGTGGGTGTAAATGTGTGAAGCTGGGCGGGCAGTGAGAAAGAAGATGCTAGGACCCAGGGGTGAGCAGTTGAGATTAAGACCAGCCAACTGGGCGAAAAAGTCTCTAGTGCTTTTCCAGGACTCACGGCCCTCTGCGCTGTAGCACGTGCGTTTGAGGGACTTGCCATCTTTAGGGACTCGCTCAGGAGGGCTCCCCTGTTGAATGTGCATGTGGGAATAACTCAGGAGGGTCAGGGGAGAGGGAGGCTGAAGTGCCAAGTTGAGAGTGGAGCATGTCGTCACTGTTGCTAGTAAACGGTGCCAGGGAGGCCCTGCCAAGGAACCAGTTGCCGCTTGGAGCTCCAGCCCATGAGGTCATCCTTGAACCCTGCCGTGTGGCTCGGCAGACAGCCACCACTGCCTCACCCTGCAGGACCCTGAATGGGGCTCAGAGAGAAAGGCAGGGCTGGGCTGGATTCCAGAGGCTCGCTGTTATCACTAATTGGTGGTAATGACGATGACAGTGATGAGGAGTAGTGAGGGTACAACCCGGAGCACACTGATCTTGGTACCTGAAGGACCTGGATTCTAGTCCCAGCCCTCCCCTCACCACCTTTAAAGTTACTTAGACTCTCTGTGCCTCAGTTTCCTTCTCTGTAAATGGGGAATGAGGTTGTTGGGAGAATTAAATTAGTTAACACACATGAAGTGCTTAATACAGTGCCTGGCTCAGAGTAAGTGCTCAATATTTATTAGCTATACTTATTGCTAGTATTATCTGAGCCTCGGTTATATCATTCATCAAATGGGCATGATACTATTTGTGTTATGGTGTTGTTGTAAGGGTTAATGAGATAATGTTAATTAATCCACCAATGTGTAGGATGTAGTAATGCTCAAAGTGAGTTGGTTGAAACTGAAATTTTTACAGAAAAAAATTTGCATGTAAAGTCAGTGGCTGAGCAGGTGGACTAGCTAACATTTTTGGGAAGTTCTTCTAAGAGTATTGTCAGAGGAACTTTATCTACCGTTGGAGAGGGTGGCTTACTCCCATTGGAATACCCCATTGCTATTTTAGGTTACTGTATTAGTTTCCTATTGCTGATGTAACAAATTACCACAAACTTAGTGCTTAAAACAACACAGATTTATTATCGTGCCGTTCTGGAGGTCAGAAGTCTGAAATAGGTCTTGCTGGGCTAAAGTCAGTGTCGGCCAGGCTCCTTCTGGAGGCTCTAGGGAAAAAATCTGTTCTCTTGCCTTTTCTGGCTTCTAAAAGCTGCCTATGTTTCTTGGTTGCTGGTCCCTTGTTCCATCTTCAAAGCATAGCATGTTCCAATCTCCCCCTCCCCCTCCCCCTCCTCCTTCCCCTCTCCTCCCCCAACCGCCCTCTCCCTTTCTTCTCCCGCTTATAAAGACCGTTGTGGATAATTTCTCCATCTCAAGATCCTTAATTATATCCGCAAAGTCCCTTTTGCCATGTAAGGTAACATATTCACAGATTCTGGGCCAGGGACATCTTTGGGGGGACATTATTCTGCCTACCACAGTCGTTATTCGAGAAAATAATGTAGATCATGAAGAAAATGATGTAAATTAGAGAAAATAATGTAAAGCTCACTTCTGTTTAGGGCTTATCCCTACACCTACCCAGTTAGGTGAGTTTGTTCACTTGACTTAGAGATGGGAAACTCAAGAACAGAAGGGTCAAGGCTGTGGATCAAATCTTTTGTAGGCCCTGGATTTCTTCAAACTCCATTCCGAAGTTACTGCTTTGCAAGCTTTCTCCCTTTCTTTGATTAACCCTGAACTTTTGACCCTAACCCCACAGAATGGTCTCCTTTTCCCAGCAATAGCATTTGCTGATTTTTTTAGCTCTAAATTTTCTAGCTCCTCCCCCTCCTCCATTTCCAAGTAAATGCAAAGAATGCCCTCATCCCCAAGGCCTCCTCTAAGAAAATCACCGCCCAATGGTGTTTGCCCTCCCTGAGAGTCCCAGACAGCGTCTGTATTAGATTCCTACTGCTACTGTAATGTTACCACAAACTTAGTGACTTAAAACAATGCAAGTTGACAGTTCCAGAAGTCAGAACTCTGAAATGATTTTCACTGCGCTAAAATCAAGGCGTTAGCAGTGTGTTAGTATTCCTTCTGGAGGCTCTAGGGGAGAATCCGTTTCCTTGCCTTTACCAGCTTCTAGAGTCTTGCCTCATTGCTTGGCTCGTTGCCTCCTTCCATCTTCAAAGCCAACAGTGTCAGGTTGAGTCCTTCTCAAGCTGCTTCCCTCTTCTTCTTTTAAGGACCCTTGTGATAACACTGGGCTCACCTGGATAATTTAGGATACTCTCCCTATTTTTAAGGTCAGCTGATTAGCAACCACAATTCCCCTTTGCTATATAACAACATATTCACAGGTTCTAGGGATTAGGACATGGGCCTCTTTGGGGGGCCATTATTCTGCCCACCACATGGCTTGAGAAGGAGTTTCAAATTAGGGCTAGCTGTGCAGACTCATTCTTATTAACATCCCCTTCCAGAATGTGCATAATGGCCCCCTCAAGAGAGAACACCTGTTAAACTCTCTCCAGAATCCCTGCTGCAGCTCCCATCTCTCTCAATCCCTTTGTCCGTGGCATGATCTGAGAGCAAAGGAGGCAGCAGTAGTAGTGCACACTTCATTTGTTACGTAAATTTTTTTATCAAAGGAACATATAAAAAGATGCACAAGCCATAAGGGAATAGTTCAGTGGAATTTTGCAAAGTGAACACTGTCATGTAACTGCCTCCCAGAAGGCACCCCAGAAGCCCCTCTTGGATTCCTAATTATCACCTCCCCCTGAAGGTAACTACCGTTCTAACTTCTATCAGCGTAGATTAGTTTTGCCTGTTTTTTAAGTAAACTTTTTATTAAAGTACACATACAGAAAAGTGCAGAAGTCAGGGGTGCAGCTGGCTTATTTTTCATGAATGTGTAACCAGCATTCTGATTAATCAGCAGACCATTTCCAGCACCCCAGGAACCCCCCAAGCCTCCTTCTCTGCCCTGATACCCCAAGTGTAACCACTATCCTGATTCGTATGATTGTAGATTAGTTTTGTCCATTTTTGAATTTTATTTTGTTCAATGTT